GACAGATCTCTGGCACAGACTTTGGAGCCTTGGTTCCGCTCGATCGCTTCTCCAATACGAGCTGTATTGAAGTTGCGTAAGTCCCGCCGCATGCATTTGGAGATCTGTCTGTTCAGTTGCCTGTATGCTGTCAAATCTGTTGAAGAATGTAGCTTCATCTCCCGCCTAACAGCCATGAGATTAAGAGTGTGATCGGAGAGTTTTTGTGTTCTTCTGCGGCGGGTCTTGCAGAACTTAGCTACGATCGCATGGACAGTTTCCACGAGCTTGTCATTCATATCGTCCACTTCATGGCAGTCTTCTAGGCACTGAAAACGGTTTTGTAACTCGAGCTGAAAGGTTTCGGAACTTTGGATTAGAGCACGAGGGGGACGAAGCGTTCACTTCATTAGACGAGACCTCTCCAACTTAACGTTTAGGTTCAGTGTGCCTCTAACCATTCGGTGATCAATGCCGGTTTTCACCCTCGCGATCACTGAGACATCACTGAACTGTTATCGTCTGGTCGTCATAATGAAGTCAATCTCATCTTTTGTCGAACCGTCGGGGCTCGAACAGTTCCACTTCCTGTGGGGCCGCTTCTGGAAGAAAGAGTCATCATAAAAAGTCCCTTTTTCTACATGAATTCGGCCAGCTGCTGGCCCTTTGGGTTCTGTTGCCCTATTCCAAATTTCACTACTTTCAGCTCACCATTCTCTCTTGTGCCTAGTTTTGCATTGAAGTCTCCCATTAACACCGTATATTGGGTTTTGGAGGAATGCATGGCTCTAGAGATATCCTCATACATTTCCTCCACCTCCTCATCGGGGTGTGCCGAGGTTGGTGCGTAAACCTGTATGACCTTCAGCGAATACCGTTTGGTGATTCTGAGTATAAGGTACGCAACCCTCGTCGACACACTCTTAATCTTTACAACGTTGTTAACGAGAGACTTCCAAAGTAGCACAGATAGCTGTATAACTACTCACTTTTAGATCCATTTGTAACTCTATGCATATTAAGACTCCTTTAAGAGTACACTGGTGATCCTACAGCTGCATAATAGCTGTCAGTGATATATAAACAGCTTAGGCTAATTCAGAGCTGCATTAAGGCTGATTAAGTCCAGCACTACTACCATTAATACACTAAAAGTGAAAGTAAAAAGTAAAAAGTAAAATATACTTTATTGTACACCAAGGAAAAATTTTATATATTTAAATGGACATTGGTACAACAGGCGGCCTTATCGCTAAAACAGCGATCTCTTCCAGGCAACCTTAGGGCAGAGGATACTATTTTTAAAAGAAAGCGGAAGGGGTGTACAGAATATAATATAGAAAGATAAATAGAAGAACATAAGTGATTAAAGGAAAAAAAAGTGAATGACGACAGGTAGTAATTAATAGAATCAGGCGTTACTTTGCGGAAATCCATTATATAAAAGCTTTTACAAAAATTTACTTCGTAAATATCTGCGTTATAAAATAAAATTATGTGTCTTACCTTGTATGAAGAAGCACCTCCCGCCCTCCCTCAATTGCGTGCACTATCCCCGTCACCACTAATCCCAGCACCGCTACTCCCAACACCACTACGCTAGGCAAGACACACCACTGACGATAATACGACACGTGTTTCGCCTCTACACGAGGCATCCTCAGGTGATATAGACTCTACGGTGGCTAACTGCTAAGTGAGCGGCGAGCCAAAACAAGTGCCTTTTATACAAACCGATGATGCAACCGCTCTCTACCTATGGAGCGAGCGACTGCGTCATGCGATAAAACATGCGACCAATCACCGCTGGACTTACGTAGCCGTTTGTAAAATTAAAAATAAACCGCCGCGCAGCGCCCACCCTCTAACCACGCAACCAATCGCCGATCACCGTGAGGGTGACAAACGACCATATTGCGAGGCTCTCTATTATTAGAGAGCAGGCTTGAAGATATTTAAGAGAGGTGAGTTAGTAACATTTGTTTGTTCATTCAGCAATGCAACGGTATTATTATTACTTTTCAATATCTCTAACTGTTCCAGCACACACAGCCGCAGCCCTTTATTACACGTATGTAAGACTTTAAAGGAGTGGTCGTTGGCTAGGTTGTGTCCAGTGTCCAAAAGATGTTTGGCAAAATGGGATTTATCGGGATTGCAATTCCTGTATGAGTATCTTCTAAATCGCACAGTGGTGGACCGCCAATCATCCAGATGGTGTGGATGGTATCGGGAGTTCTGCCGCGATGTGCGTTCGTGAAATTTGGCGGCTGGGATTAATCCGAACAATTCCTCAGAGCACTCCCCATGGTAGATGCGAAAGAAAATGCAAAGGGATGCAACATCTCTTCGCAGTGCCAATGAATCGAGCCGATCGGAAAGGGCTCGGTCGTCGACAATTCGAGCCGCTCTGCGTTGGATGCGGTCAAGTGGAAGGAGCTTGCACTGGGGAGCCCCTGCCCAGAGATGGGAACAGTATTCCATGTGAGGCCGAACTTGCGCCTTGTAAAGTAGCAGGCGGTGTGCCGGCATGAAATACTGTCCCGCTCTGCTGAGCACGCCAAGCTTTTTAGAGGCCAATTTGGCCTTCCCTTCCAAGTGACCACGAAACTGCACGTCACTCGATATGTCGACTCCGAGGGTACCGATACTGGCTGAGGCAAGAAGGGGAGTGCCTTGAAAGTGAGGAGATACGACAAAGGGGTTCTTTTTAGCGGTAAACGCGCAAACTTGTGTCTTCTGAGGATTAAATTAGACTAGATTTAGTCGCCCCCAATCCGAGACTTTGTTCAGCAAAAACTCGACTTCAGACACAAGTTTGTTCCGGTACTCAGCGACGTTTTCCCGAGAAATATTGGCACGGCCGGTGTATAGAGCATCACCAGTGCTGTCATCCGCATAGCAATGAATGTTACCAGTTAGCAACATATCATTGATATGCAGAAGAAACAGCGTTGGTGATAGCACACAGCCTTGTGGAACACCAGCGTTAATAGGCTTGTAGTCAGAGCATTCACCGTCTACAACGACCTTGATGCTCCGATCTGCAAGGAAGCTGGTGATCCAATTGCACAATTTCTCGGGAAGCCCATAGGAAGGGAGCTTCGAAAGAAGCGCTTTGTGCCAAACCCGATCGAAGGCCTTCGCAATGTCCAGACTAACGGCCAACGCCTCCCCCTTGGACTCTACTGCCTCCGCCCATCTATGGGTCAGGTAGACCAGAAGATCACCAGCTGATCGACCCCGACGAAAACCGTATTGACTGTCACTAATCAGCTGGTGATCCTCAAGGTACCGGATGAGCTGGCAGTTAATAATGGATTCCATTATTTTGGAGAACAAGGAGGTGATCGCGATAGGCCTATAGTTGGATGGGTCTGAGCGGTCGCCTTTTTTAGGGATCGGGTGGACAAAAGCTGTCTTCCATGAATTCGGGACTACGCCTTGGGAGTAGGAGTACCGGAAAAGACGCGTTAGGACCGGTGCCAACTCCGGAGCACGAGCAGTGCTTTGCGAACCGAGCGCTGTGAGAACAGCACATCCGGCATGGAGCACTCACACCGCGGGATGGTCGGCGGTGTTTTCCCCCCGTCATCAAGAGTCGAGTTGGACGCAAAAAGTGTGGAACACCAGCGTTAATAGGCTTGTAGTCAGAGCATTCACCGTCTACAACGACCTTGATGCTCCGATCTGCAAGGAAGCTGGTGATCCAATTGCACAATTTCTCGGGAAGCCCATAGGAAGGGAGCTTCGAAAGAAGCGCTTTGTGCCAAACCCGATCGAAGGCCTTCGCAATGTCCAGACTAACGGCCAACGCCTCCCCCTTGGACTCTACTGCCTCCGCCCATCTATGGGTCAGGTAGACCAGAAGATCACCAGCTGATCGACCCCGACGAAAACCATATTGACTGTCACTAATCAGCTGGTGATCCTCAAGGTACCGGATGAGCTGGCAGTTAATAATGGATTCCATTATTTTGGAGAACAAGGAGGTGATCGCGATAGGCCTATAGTTGGATGGGTCTGAGCGGTCGCCTTTTTTAGGGATCGGGTGGACAAAAGCTGTCTTCCATGAATTCGGGACTACGCCTTGGGAGTAGGAGTACCGGAAAAGACGCGTTAGGACCGGTGCCAACTCCGGAGCACGAGCAGTGCTTTGCGAACCGAGCGCTGTGAGAACAGCACATCCGGCATGGAGCACTCACACCGCGGGATGGTCGGCGGTGTTTTCCCCCCGTCATCAAGAGTCGAGTTGGACGCAAAAAGTGCTTCTTCATACTAGGTAAGACACATCATTTTATTTTATAACGCGGATATTTGCGAAGTAAATTTTTGTAAAAGCTTTTATATAATGGATTTCCGCAAAGTAACGCCTGATTCTATTAATTATATTAAAAAGGCTAGCACGGCCGACCAGGCAAGACTCTATGTCAAATTAACAAAACTCCATCGTATTGCTGCCCAAAATGTTTGGTTCAATCAGCAGTGCAAACAACTTCATGTTATTGCCAATTATATTCAAATACGTTCCAGCACAAATAGTCGAGCGGCCAGTATTGCTATTTCTAAAGCTCAGAACATTTGGCTTAATGAGGAGTGTCGTCGTTGGTTTTCCAATAGAGATAATTTAAAAATCCACCTTAAAGTATTATACTCTGAACTTTCATATAAATTACATAATATTGAATTTGATATTTTGGATGGCAAAGCCAGAGAACTTGCTTCAATGGCTGTTTATGAGAAATATCAAATTCAGTCCCGTAAATTACAACGACTTGTATCCTCTTCATCCCGTAATCGTAATAACGACATACATACAGAATATCACCAATTTTATCCCCGAGTTAAAAACCTTTCCGATGTCCAGTTTCCAACAGACTAGTTGTCCCTTTTACATAAAGGCCTAAAGTATAATTTAATACCTTCAGTCTCCCAAAAATCGTTAGAGACTATGGCTGTTGACGCGGAGGTGGCTGTTGTGATCGGGAAGAAAGATAACATCGTTAAAAGTTTGGTAGTTAATGAAATTCGGGCTGTGCCCGCGTCTTCCTATTTCAATCCTGAGTTCCCTAAAGCAGAGAATAAGGGAAAACGACCTTATTGTTACTAAAGCCGATAAAGGCAATACTGTTGTTATTATGGAGAGTAGTGGGTACAGCCAAAAAGTTAACGATGTTATCCAAGGTGATGACTTTGAGCTATTGGAGTCTGACCCAACCAAAAAATTTACTTCGGATATTAAGTTATGTATACAACAGTCATCATATGTTTTTCCCGATCACAACTTGTCTCGGAGCAATCTTGTTCCAATGAATCCTCAAGCACCCATTTTATATGGGTTACCAAAAATACATAAAGAACATGTTCCTATTCGTCCAGTTGTCTCATATATTGGTGCACCAGCTTATTTCCTTGCTAAAAAATTAAACTTCCTCCTTCGAGAGAAATCTGGATTCAACCCCACTTACAGCCTAAAAAATGGCTTAGATCTCATTTCCAAAATTAAAGATATTCGTATTCCTCCTAAATCCATATTATCTTTAGACGTTGATAGTCTTTTCACAAATGTCCCATCCCCTGACTGTTTGCGTATACTCGCAGATCTCTTTGAAAAACGTCGTCTACATCCCGGGGAAACAAATGATCTTCTTAACTTAACCTCTCTCTGTATGAAACAAAACTATTTCCGGTTTAATAACCGTTTCTATCTACAAAAAGAAGGGTTAGCTATGGGGTCCCCTCTAAGTCCCCTTATGGCGGACATTTTCATGGATAATTTCGAAAAACAACATATAGTTGTCAATCAAAATATCTTATATTACTATCGATATGTAGATGACATAATTATTTGCTGGACTGGCACAAGGAGACAACTGGATGTTTTCCTCAATAAAATAAATAGAGTCTATGACAAAATTAAATTTAAACTTGAATTGGAACAAGATTGTTCCCTTAATTTTCTCGACTTAACAATAACAAGAAATGAATCGTCACATGTTTTCCAAATTTATCGAAAGCCAACTCACACCGACACGGTCATCCCCGCGTCATCATGTCATCCGTGGCAACATAAAGTAGCCGCTTTTTATTGTTACATTAACCGTTTGTTCACTGTCCCATTAAGTAAAGAAAATAATTTAAAAGAACTTAATATAATTTATCAAATAGCGGTCTCTAACGGTTTTTCAAAAAATCTCATTAACAATTTAATTAAAAAGAAACAAAAGCATGTTATTCGCAACTCTCTGTACGCGGTTCAACCTCAAAGTGTTCATCGATATGTGAGCAGTTTGACCTACTTAGGCCCCATATCTGAAAAAGTAGCTAATACTCTTCGACAAAACGGCGTTCATGTGGCATTCAAAACAAACAATTCTCTTAGAAATATCTGTAATAGTAAAGATAAGTTGGATATTCGTCAAAAGTCGGGTGTTTACAAACTTGTTTGTGACGAATGCCACGCCGTTTACGTGGGTCAGACTGGTCGCAATTTCGAGACACGTTATAAAGAGCATTTAGCCGCATACAGGAATTGCAATCACGATAAATCCCATTTTGCCAAACATCTTTTGGACACTGGACACAACCTAGCCAACGACCACTCCTTTAAAGTCTTACATACGTGTAATAAAGGGCTGCGGCTGTGTGTGCTGGAACAGTTAGAGATATTGAAAAGTAATAATAATACCGTTGCATTGCTGAATGAACAAACAAATGTTACTAACTCACCTCTCATAAATATTTATTTATTTATTTATTTATTCTTTATTGCATTCCTTAAAACAAAAGAATACAAAGGGCGGACTTAATGCCTTGAGGCATTCTCTACCAGTCAACCCATGGAGTGGTGAGAATTTGACGTAGGTGCGACAATATAGAATAAAATAACAGTACACAAAATAATAATTAACTACATAATACATACAATTTACTAATAAATAAACTATACATATATGACGTATACAAACATATATACAAATATATACATACAAATATACATATTTAAATACATAATATATAATTAGTACATACAAATACCTATGAACATATGCGTCTGTTTAGCAATACATATCAAATGGATGAATCAAGTAAAATGCTTTGTCTTCAATAGATGGTTACGAACCAATTTTTTAAAAACATACTTGTTGGATGTTTTTCTGATGTCATCGGGCAAGGAGTTCCAAAGGCGTGTAGCCTGAACTGTGAAGGAGTTGCCATAGAACTCGGTGAAGTGAACAGGAATACAGATTTTGTTGTTAGAAGAAGAACGTAGGACCCTATCATGAGATGAGGAGAGATAGTGAAATTTACTCTTAAGATAAGAAGGCGAAGATGGGTCATTTAAAATGGAAAAAAGAACAAGCAATATTCTGGAATTGCGCCTCTGACGGATTGTAAGCCAATTTAGCTTAGATCTATATTGCGAAATATGGTCATACTTACGAAGCCCGAAAATAAATCGTATACAGTTGTTAAGAAGGCGTTCCAGTTTGTTCAGAAGATCTTGGGACAGATCTGGGTAACACACATCTGCATAATCAATTATGGGTAATATGAGCGAATGGACAAGCATGATTTTAGTTTTTGTGGGAAGAAAATGTTTTAGACGATACAGAGAGCGTAAAGTGGCAATGACTTTACGACTCACTTCTGAAACCTGGGTTCTCCAATTCAACGTGCTGTCGATATGTAGGCCAAGATTTTTAACAGAATTACTGAACGGAATTATAATACTATCATAATAAATAGGAGGTAAATCTGCCAGATTAATCTTAGCTAGCATTCTTGAGCTACCCACTAGTATAGCTTGGCATTTCAAAGGATTGACCAAAACTCCATAACGAGTAGACCAATCTTTGATAGCTGATAAGTTGTCGTTAAGTTTTTTGATCCCATTATGTATATCCTCAAATTCAGTTTGCACATAAAGCTGAAGGTCATCGGCGTACAAATGATACGAGCAGTCGAGGATGGAGGTAATAAAGTTTATGAAAATTGAAAATATTATAGGAGAAAGAATACCGCCTTGCGGCACACCAGCATCCACATCAGCCCAAGCTGAGGACATTTGCCCCACACAGACTGACTGCTGTCGACCGCGAAGATAAGATGCAAACCATTCCAAAGCAGTAGGACCAAAATTCAGGTGAGATAGTATGGAAAGGAGGATTTCATGATCAACTGTGTTGAAAGCATTTGAGAAATCAACTAGTACCAGTACTGTTATCTTTTTTTCTTCCATACCTTGTCTAATATTATCAGTAACATTAATTAAAGCAGTAGCGGTACTATGACCAGGGCGAAACCCAGACTGAAATATACTCAGTAGGTTATGTTTCGAAATAAAAGTAGAGATTTGCTTGTAAACACAGGATTCTAAAATTTTGGAAAGAAAGGGTAGAATAGATATTGGGCGAAAATGATTGGGAAGAATGGGAGTAGGAACTTTTGGGAGAGGCTTTATAAAAGCCCTCTTCCAAAGATTAGGGTACTGACATGAATCAAGGGAAAAATTGATGATATGGGTTATTGCAGGAAGAAGGTGCTCTAGTATAAATACTACCATATGTCTACTAATCTCATCATAACCCACCGCCTTGGATTGGATTGCTAAAATAGACTTTTTGACATCATCCTGAGAAACAGGAGAAAAATTAAAGGTAGGAATGTTAGGAGTTTGCATAGAAGCAATGGATGTCATAGTTTGGGAGCGAATTGTAGGGTCCAATGCTTTTACAGAAGCGAAATGTTGGTTGATTTCATCGAGTGATAGAGAAGGACCACAATCCAATGTAGCTGGCCTGCAAAGACCAAAAGATCTTAGAAATTTCCACACTACGGCTGGTGAAGAGTTATTAATACAATTATGGAAATATCGGCGTTTAGCTGCACGTACCATCTGATTACACCTATTCCTGGCTGCTTTAAAAGATAACCAATTTTCTTCAGTACGATCTCTCTTGAAACGAAGAAAAGCTCGATTTCGTCTAGACATTGCCAACCTTACGCCCTCCGTCATCCATGGGGCAGGCGGACGCTTCAATCTGACCTTATGAACTGGAGCATGAGCATCATAGAGGCTGAGAACATTGTGGTTAAGAATCAAGACTTTATCGTCAACAGTAGGTGCTGCAATTAAAGAGGCTAGATCGAGATTAAGAGCGTCATTCTTTAGCTTGTCAAAGTCTATTTTAGAAAAGCTGCGAAGATGCATTACAGTAGGTGAATATTTGGGTGGTTTAAGCTTATACGAAGCATAAATCAAGTCATGGCGTGAGATACCCAAAGCGGGTAACTGACCGTGCATCATCACACGTTCAGGAGAAGCAGCAAGGATTAAATCAATCAATGAGTCATTGGTTCCGATATTATGATGAGTAGCCTTTAAAGGGAGAATAGAAAGATTAACCGACTCAATAATTGAAAGAAGCTTTTTGGAACGAGGGCAGCTTTTCAACAAATCTGTATTAAAGTCACCCATGATTATACAGTGTGTATACTCAGAACAAATATCAGTGAGAGCCATATCTAAAGTGGCGAAGTAGTCAGTCGAAGGGGGGCAATACACTACCCCTAAAAGCATCCTGATGCCCTTGACATCGAGTTCCACAAATAAAAACTCAGAAGTAGCAGAATAGCAGGAAGGAGATGTTAGAACAACTTTGTGAGGAATTGATGCGTGTAGGTAGATGGCTACACCACCTCCACCTTTTCCAACACGATCATTTCTAACGAGTACAAAGCCAGGAAGGGGATATAAAGTTGAAGGTAAAGTAGGCTTCAGCCAACTTTCCGACACTAATATGGCATGAATATACTCGGGGAAAAATGAAGCTTCAAGTTCGGAATAGTGGCTCGGGATACTTTGAGCGTTAATATGGCATATGTTCAGAGAGTTGTTAGAAGATGTACAAACTCCTTTGAGTAGTTCACGTAAATTAAGAACGCTATCATTGAAAGAATCATCACAAGAGTGAAAAGATAAACTAGAAGATTCATTAGCAGAGCTAAACAACTCAACATCAGACATAGTTTATGGACTAAAATAAAAATAAATTAAATAAATATAAAAAAATTAAAATAAATACACAAAAAAAATATTTAGGAATGTACACTTAAGACTAATTTATAAACTAACACTTACTAAACATAAACATCACCAACCCATCAGTTCACTGTTTACAGAGTAAACTTAATAAAATAAATTTTATATGCAAACATAGGATCTATAATATCTAGATCTAAGATATTCTTATCTAATAATAATGTTAATATTTCTAAGTAGGTGTCACACAAAATAGTACAAGAGAATATTTACCAAAAGAAAATCGATTAAGTGAAAGTAAAAAAAAAAAAAAGAACGACATTGGCTGAATGACACATGTGTCCTTTGTCTATCAAAGGCTAAAAAAATGTTATTGTCAAAATCAAAACTCATAAAAATCAAATTGAAAATAATAATATGTGGTAGGTACATTTGCAAAACAAGTATTATTACCAATATATGTACCAAGCATAGTATAAACCAACCAAAGATAATGTAATGTAAATAATAAATAAAATATCTTTGAAACCAACCTATTGAGTAAGACACCTCAACTAAGAAACAAAAGAAAACTAAACGCAAGAAGTTGTATACTACATGATTAAAATCTTATTAAATATTAATATAGAAAAACAAAACATCATATGGAGATTATAATATTATTAGACAAAAAAAAACTAACTTAAAGAAAAAGCAATAATACAGCTATTAAAAGGCAAACAACTTATGATTACAGACAATATTGTTCTGTGCTATAGACATAACAACCATGAAGATGCGAGTCTACAAATAATTAATATGTAAATTAATAATATAGAAAAAGAGAAAAAAAAACACGAGAATACGAGAATACATAATTAAAATAAAGGATACCTAGGAATATCATATGTGAAATTAAGCAGGCTATTTTTTGGCTACTAAACGACGGGACCTTTTAGGATCCTCTTTCTGCCCCACTATACCATCTTGATTGCGTCGAGAAATCTCAGACAGAATTTTTGTGCTTGAAGAACTATGCTGTGCTAGAATGGGTTTCTTTACAGCATTAGTAATACCGCTGTTAGTAGCTATGCCAAGACTTGCCGGTGAACAATCAACAGGAAACTTTTCAGCGAGAGTATCAATCTCCTCTTCAGTGGAGATCTTTGCCCGTTCGTTATTGGGGAGTTTGATAAAAATTACGCCATCTAAGGTCCACACATTCTTCATTTCAAAATGCTTGCGTGCTTTTTTAAGAACAGATTGCCTCATTTTAGTTAAAAACTCAGAAACAGATATTTGAGAGCCCTTTAACTTAGTTTTAGCTTTCCACACCTCAGACTTTGTGCGATGCTCTTGAAATTGTACAAGAATTGGACGTGAATGACCATCCTTTTGAGCACCAATTCGATGGCAACGTAATAAGGATCCATTAGTTACATGTGGGATACCCATGGTCTTATGTATGATGCCCAGAATTTCTTGTTCCATATTAACTTCTGGAGAGTCAGTGATCCCATTAAATAGAAGAATGTTCTGCCTGTGCTGCATATCAATAGCATCAATTGACTTAGTGCAAGCATGAATCTGTTGCCGAAGGAGATTGAGAATGGAACAGACAAGGTCCTTGAATTCATAAAACTCCTCACGAAGTTGATTAAGTGAGGGATTTGTAGGCGTAGAAGCAGCCTTTAATCTATTCTCAAATTCAGCCATCTTACGACTCCAGCTTCCTTCCAGTTCTCTCTGGATAATCTCCACATCAGTTACTTTTGCCATTCCTTGCAATATTTGCAGTAATATTAGTGAACACAAAGTGAAGTGATAATGTGTGATATAGTTTGCAATAAAAGTTACACTAATGGGTGGTATGTGTAAGTCACAAATATCTTATCTGGACATATATTTTAATAGGACTTCAAAAGTAAAGGTAATAGAAATGTAATTAATAAGTAAATATAGTCCAAACACTGGTTTAAAATATTTAAATGTAAATAAAATATAAGAGCTAAATTAGTCAGCTGTTACTTGTTTCACACCTACCCACAAAAAAAAAAAAAAAAAAAAAAATATCTTCAAGCCTGCTCTCTAATAATAGAGAGCCTCGCAATATGGTGGTTTGTCACCCTCACGGTGATCGGCGATTGGTTGCGTGGTTAGAGGGTGGGCGCTGCGCGGCGATTTGTTTTTAATTTTACAAACGGCTACGTAAGTCCAGCGGTGATTGGTCGCATGTTTTATCGCATGACGCAGTCGCTCGCTCCATAGGTAGAGAGCGGTTGCATCATCGGTTTGTATAAATGGCACTTGTTTTGGCTCGCCGCTCACTTAGCGGTTAGCCACCGTAGAGTTTATATCACCTGAGGATGCCTCGTGTAGAGGCGAAACACGTGTCGTATTATCGTCAGTGGTGTGTCTTGCCTAGCGTAGTGGTGTTGGGAGTAGCGGTGCTGGGATTAGTGGTGACGGGGATAGTGCACGCAATTGAGGGAGGGCGGGAGGTGCTTCTTCATACTAGGTAAGACACATCATTTTATTTTATAACGCGGATATTTGCGAAGTAAAAAAATTTTTGTAAAAGCTTTTAGACAGGTAGTAACTTAAGAGGAAAGGTAATAAAGTTTTAATTTATTTTTAAATATAGGAAGAGATTTACATTCTTTAATATGTAAGGGGAGAGAATTCCATAGTCGTATAGCGGTAACCGTAAAAGAATTAGAATAGAAGGAAGAGGAATGTCTAGGAGTACTTAGAAGATTATTTTGAGATCGTAGAGGTAAAGAGTGTAAACTACTTAAATATATAAATCGGTCTTTCAGATAAGAAGGAGTGGTCGGATTGAACAGAATGCAGTAAAGAAGATGAAGAATGTGAGTATTCCTGCGAAAGCGAATCGGTAACCACTTGAGCTTATGGCGGAATTCGGATATGTGGTCATACTTTCGTAACCCAAATATAAACTTTATGCAATAATTTTGAAGCCGCTCAAGTTTATTAAGTTGATCGACTGTTAGGTCAAGATAACAAGTGTCCGCGTAGTCAAGGATCGGTAAAAGAAGAGACTGAGCCAGCGCAACTTTAGTAGGAATGGGGAGAAAATTGCGTAATCTTCGAAGTGAACCAACTGCGGCAAACATTCTTCTACTTACTTCACTCACTTGCGGTCCCCAAGACAAAGTCCGATCGAACATAATACCTAAATTCTTAACTTTGTCACTGTATGGGATAAGTGTCCCTTCGAATATGACTGGCGGGAGCAGCGAGAAAGTTAACCGAGAGATTAATTTCGAACTCCCAATAATAATGGCTTGAGTCTTCAATTGATTTACTTTGAGCCCAAATGAATTACACCAATGATAAATACGAATAAGATCTTCATTAATTAATCTAATTGTATTAGGGAGAGCCGCAATCTTACATTGAAAGTAGATTTGTAAATCGTCTGCATATTTGTGGTAAAGAGAAGTAATGTCGGAACAAATCGAATTGATGAAAATAGAGAACAATAGAGGAGACAACACGCCACCTTGTGGGACGCCAGCTTTGACAACAGACCAATCATAAAACGTGTCTTGAATTTGTACACGTTGCCGGCGCCCTCGCAAGTAACTATGAAACCAACCAATTACTTTAGGAGATATGTTAAGAGAACTTAGGACAGCGAGTAAAACATCAAAGTCTACAGTATTGAAGGCTTTACTAAAGTCAAGCAATGTCAATACTGTAACCTGCTGGTTATCCATGCCCAGGCGAATATCATCAGTGATTCTAACCAGAGCCGTAGTCGTACTATGACCGGAACGGAAACCAGATTGGAATGAATTCAAAAGGTTATGATTGGACAGAAAATTGCTCAGCTGTTGGTATATTAGGCGCTCGAGTACTTTAGAAAGAAAGGAAAGGATGGATATAGGACGGTAATCTTCACATGTCGGATTAGATTTTTTAGGGAGTTGAGTTACTAGGCCGTCTTTCCAGGATGAAGGAAAAACACAGGTGTCAAGGGAACGATTTAAAATAAGTGTAAGGATAGGAGCTAAAAGATCGAGTTATGGGATAATCATCTTACGACTAATGCTGTCAGAACCAACTGCGTCAGATGTAATGGCTAATATATTCTTCTTAACATCACTGACAGTAACTTGGCTAAAGACAAAAGAGGAAAAATTAGGAGTTGATATAGCAGAAAGTTGAGCAAGTGTATTTTTCTTCATAGCACTGTCTATAGTGGCGCTAGAGAGGAAATGTGCATTAAGCTTATTTAAATTCAAATTAAGAGATTCTACATTACACTTTGCTTTTCCAACCCCTAAAGATTTGTGAAAGTTCCAAACTTTAGTTGAGTTATCTTCCTCAACAACAGATTTATAGATATGGCGTCGTTGACTATCTCTACACACCATATTGCAGCGATTTCGTGCCCTGTTATATTTCTTTCGGTTGGAATCATTAGGATTCATACGATATTTAGTTTTCGCTGTGTTCTTTTTTTCTTGGAGTTTTTTTATGTCGGCAGTGAGCCAGGGGGCAGGAAGATGCTTCATTCGGACTGGACGAATTGGAGCGTGAATGTCATACAATTGCGTAAGTATGCTGTTAAAAATAGATATCTGCTCATCAACCAAACCAGCATTCGCAACTACTGACCAGTCAACCTTAGCAGTATCTTCTCGTAACTTATCCAGGTCCATTCTACTAAAATTGCGCCGGAGAAGGATCCTTCGCTTAGCTTTAGGAGGTTTTAATTTATAGCACAGGTAAAGTAGATCATGGTAAGAAAAAGCGGAGGCATTGCATGGGCCATGCTTTGCAACGTGGCCAATGGAAGAAACAAGTATTAAATCAAGAAGAGAAGGCACACAATTCGGAAAAGCATGAGTCGCAGAAAGTGGGATAATATGTAAGTTAACGCCATTAACAAGAGATTTGAGACGGGATGCTCTAGCATCATTTTTGAGAAGACAAGTATTGAAATCTCCCATGACAATAGTGTGGTTATAAAGCGAGGAGTATTGTTCTAAAAGAATTTCAAATGCTGAAAAATAATCAATTGTAACATTTAACATTTGGACTGTAATAGACACCGAGAAGAAGCTTTAAATGTCCAAACAATATTTCGATGAATAGGTGTTCAGGGCCGGCATTAGACAATGGCTGCGAAGTATTTAAAACTGTGTAAGGAATGTGTGATCTTAAATATATCGCCACGCCACCGCCAGTGCGCCCAAGGCGATCGTTGCGAATCAAGTGGAATACGGGAAAAGTGTAAGATATTGAAGGCAAACATGGTTTTAACCAAGATTCAGAAAGTAATATCACATGTATATTTTCATTATAAAATGAGGACAACATGTCAGAATAATGTGCGGGAATACTCTGGGCATTTATATGAATAACATTAAAGTTTTTCAGAGTATCTGAGAAATGAGAATCAAGAGTTTCACTTAAAGAAGGGATGCTGTGATAACTGTCATTACTGCTCAATCCATCTGAATCACCGAGGGAAAAATAGCTGTCGTCTAAATTATCATTATTGAAAATCATAGATATTAAACTATAAATATAATATAAATAATAAATATATGAAAAAAATGGTTTACAATCCCACCCGCCAGTTGCAAGGAAAGATTCACTTCATAGAAGAAAAATTAATAGCATTCACAGAAGAAAAACAAATTATTGTAACTATAAACACACAAAATACTTATTTATATACTTAAAAATTAACAAAATGAAACAAAAATAAAATATTATGAACAACAGGATTTTATACTACGCAAAACCCTTGTAGCCACGGCATATATTTTGTCTGTGCCTAGATGTCAAACAGTACTGCTGTCATAGAGATAAACAAAACGAACTATAGTCCCACCAACTTATCTGTGAACTGACAGCTGTGGTAAAATTGTGAACTACAGCCGCCATTAAATCAAATGTCACTCGATACGTCATTGTTTTGAGAGTTTATAGAAAAATAAAAAATGCCGAAAACCATTAAAAGTGTTGCCCTAAACATTATTTTGTAAGTATTAAACTTTTGTGAACAAGAAGCTCGAGTGTAAGCACCGATAATGTCTTTCAATCAGGTCTATAAAAGAGTATCAGCTGCTACAAGAAGGAACAAAACATAGCAATACTCTGACCAGTATTGCTATGTTTTGTTCCTTCCTATCGTATTTCCGATAAATGGATTGGTTAATGCAATTCATTTCTTTTTCAGATGTTAGTCAAGGATCAATTTCCAAAATAGTTATAGAACCGGAAACCGCATAAACCACAGGAACGCAAATTACAACGCCCGGTAAAAAGGCATAAAGGCATATCATTTAATTAAAGTTTAAATTGTTCAATTATGATATTTTTGTTTCTTCTTGTTCTTGGACATATATCTGTTAAATCTGTGTTCTAGTCTTTTTATTCCGTGACTAATTTATTACCTTAGTATGTGAAATCTATGTAGGAATATAAGAACCTTAGATGGGAATATTCCCGAACTGGCAACACTTCAGCGCAGAAGCGCCAAGCTGTCAGTTCACAGATAAGTTGGTGGCACTATACCTATCTACTAGTTTCAATGCAAGCTTATAAAAATAAATATGAGGGTTAAATAGTTTAAATTGTTATATAAAAATTTATTAGATTTTCTAGATGCAAAACGAACTTGTCGCCGTCCTAAAATATTGCCGGTCAAAAATTGCAAGAGGTGGACTCTATTCGCGATTTGGGCGTCATTATAGATAAAAAACTACGCTTTCACAAACACATTGACCAAGTCGCAACAAAAAGTTTCCAGATGCTAGGGTTTGTGCTGCGGAATGCAAAGGAATTCAAAAAGCCCTCAACAAAAATTCTCCTGTATTTGGCATTGGTTCGTTCGGGTTTGGAATATTGTAGTCAGGTTTGGTCCCCACATTATGAGGTCCATATTAAGCGAATCGAGCGAATACAGAAGAGATTTCTCTGGCACCTATCCTACCAATCTAACAAAGCCAAACTGCTGCCCTCATATAAGGAACGTCTTGCCTATTTTAAAATGACTAGCCTACAAGGGCGAAGATTGTTTTTGGATCAATTACTTTTTTATAAGATTATCAATGGCCTCATTGACTGCCCTGCGTTATTGCGATCTGTCAATTTTAATATCCCATACAAGTTACCGCGTCGCGTACGATACGTTCCATTTTCACCAAAAGGTGCCAAAAGTAGCTTAGGTCACCACGCCACCATGAATCGCTTACAGAGACAGTACAACGTAATATCTAAGTCTTACAACATCGACATATTTTCTGACAAGCCGTTGAAATTTAGACGCAAGCTCGGTCAGTTTCTCTAGTCAATGGTGTCTGTTTGATTCAAGTATCTATATCTATTGTTTGATTTTTTTTTTAACATATAAAATTAATGATTGTTAAATGATGATTAAAATGTTTAAGTTTTCATTTGCTTAGTATTAACTAACCTATTTAAGTTTTATTTGCATAGTCCACATTTGCATGCCGTGGCAGCCTATAATTAAGATGACGCTTAGCTTTAGTTTTATATTCATGTTACCTTAACACTGCAGTACTCGCGCGGGGTGAATATTCACCCCAGACCAATGCTTTCATCCATATTTTTTAAATTATTTGAATACAGACTGTGTCGCTTAGTGTAATCCTAGTCGAGTAAATTAGGTTCAAGGTCAGTACGGCGCCGGCACTCGACGCGTGCGCTAGTGGCAAAAAAAAGGCGGGAAAGTGCTCGGGACGGAATTTCACCCCACGCGAGTATCGGCGTTACAAATCTCTCGTTCGATTATTAAGTGTTTCTTGTGTTTCGAGATGATTTCAGTTTCTATAAGACTTTTGTATATTTTGCTATGAATTTTGTGTTGTTCATTACAGATTTTTCGCCATTATGGACGAACGTCAGGATAATATAATACGATGCTGGTTGGAAGATGTAGAGGTTGTGAGTGATATTGCGCCGAGTGATACAGAAGGTAATGAAGAGGAATGTGTTACAGAGCTAAACCATGACTCAGAAACAGAGCAAGAATATGAAAGTAGCATAGAAGAGAAGGAAGAAAGAAGCACAGAAGAGAGGGTAGATGAAGACATGGAAGAAAATGTGGAGAATAGTTTTTCAAGTGACGACAATGTTCCTCTGAGTACTTTCTCAAACTACTACCGGTCTAGAAATGGTACTCGTTGGAACAAAACACCACCACCGTCATCAAGAACTAGATCGCACAATATTTTAGTACAACAATGTGGACCTAAAGGTAACGCTAAAAACGCCCAGTCTCCACTGTCTTGTTTCGAGCTATTTTTTGACGAGTCACTTTTGCAGATTATTGTTGAATCCACAAATATTTACATAAATATTGCTCAATCAAAATATAAACGTGACAGAGATGCTCGTCAAACAAACATGATGGAAATTCGAGCTTTTATCGGGTTATTGCTGGTGATAGGTGTAAACAGATCGGGAAGACGGAACCTGAAAGACTGTTGGGATAATTCTAGAGGCACAGGAATTGAATTAGTCTATTTGACTATGTCGTTGAATAGATTTCGATTTCTCCTTCGCACTGTTCGATTTGATGACGTCACAAGCCGACCTCGAAGGCAATCACTAGATAAACTTGCAGCTATACGTGATGTTGTAGAAAAGTTCATTTCCAATTGTAAAAACAATTATAATCCCAGTGAGCGACTAACTATTGACGAACAGCTTGTTGCATTTTGGGGACGCTGTAGTTTTATCATGTATATGCCCAATAAGCCTTCAAAGTTTGGAATCAAAATAATAATGGTGGTAGATGTGAAATTCCCATACGTATATAATTTTGAAATTTATGTTG